GACGAATGACGTTAACGCAAGGGTCTCCTCGTCTGCGTTGAAGGAACGATTTTTACTGTAATCGTTCTTAATATAAAGGTTGCTATTAAATCTGCGCGTAATAAGACCGTGTAATAACTACTCATGTAATATATATATATATTACATGAGTAAAAGGAGTTATTAGTGGGCACCGGTTTATTGCGAGAAGGAAGATCCTATAGGTAGCATTACTCTCGTGTTCAGACCAAGCCCAGTTACCAATGATACGAAGCCATGGAGACATGAGGGACTTTTATACTATAAAAGTTCAGTGTGCCTGGCAAATTCATTAATGGACAGCTGTGCTTTAGTATTAAATTAAGAAATTTCAGCACCTTTCTGTATTTTCAAGAATCGATTATATGTGATGTATTATATAGTATAAGAGTAAACTATTGTAAAAGGTGACAATCCTACGCCATACTGTGACGAATCTATCCGTCTGAGAAAATTCACAACCATGCAGGTCACGACAAAAAAACTTACGTCGAGGCCTTCACAAACTGTACTACGCCGACTGAGTATTTGCTCTGCGTTTTTATTCTGCAATAAAAAAAAAAATAACTTAAAGACGGTTGGAACCCGTTCGTTTGAAAAGAACGTCTTTCAGATACAATTCTATTTTATTCTTCCAATTTAAGATACTACTTTCAAAGAGAAGTAGAGTGAACCTCATGTCATTTTGTTCCTTTTCCCTTAAATTTTATGTATTGTAACTTCGGCACAGCCTGGCGCAGTTATGCTTTTTTGCCTCTTAATGATATCGCTGTTACAGTGCTTTAGTCTAGAATTATGAAGGCATGTTAAGATTGTATTGACGGTGCTTGCGAGATCCAGTCTTGAAGGAAAAAAGACCGATATAAAAAATTCGACATATATATATATATATGCAACAATGCTTTTTCCCACGAAGGTAATGTGTTCTTTAAAACAGAGGAGATACCTTAGTAATTGTTACCTGGCTCCCTTACCTTCGGTATGCAAGCTGCCAAAGCTCGCAGGATAATGCTAGCGATACTGACATCAAAATTTTGTCCAATGGATCAGGTAGTTTTTCGCCATAGATGTGAAATCTGGTTTTATGGCACTTCGACTGGCCTGAGGCATATTTTCATGCGAAGGCACAAGGGGGCTCAGGACACCCCAGTGCGATAGAGCTATCGACATGTATAGCCACATACTACTGAAGTCTAAGTTGTACAAGAAGAAAACAAGTACATCAATTTTTCTATAAACTGAGGTTCATCGGACCAACGCCTGTTCTTTGCTATTATACCGTAGCAGGGGCGCGCATTCGGACTTTGGTCTCGAGACATTGAAGAACAAAGTCATTAGTTCCCACTGCACTCATGTTAAAATGACATTTAGACGAAGTCAACGAAGGGCATCTGCCCCGAGCGTCGTTGACTACGATTTCGGCAGGTTCGCTAGGTACATACCAACAAGACTCTGCTCATAAAGCATACGACTTAAACTGGATATACGCTAATACATACTCAATACGTTTCATAATAATCTACTTATATGTACTTCTTTTCTATATACAGTTACTGAGACTTAGATGGATTAGAAACTGACTTTACAGAACGTCTAATTTAACCATTAAAAACATACAAATTTCATTTACTCAATGACATATTTTTCGGGCCAAAAGAGCTGTAACAAGTAATAAGAGTATTATGTTCAATATATAATTGTTACTGATTATTATTCAATTTGTCGTACAAAATTCTCTAGCTTCGTAATAAAGCTAAGTAAATTAAAAATGACATTACGAAGGGTATAATAGTCTACTGCAGGATAAGAAGGTTGCCGCGATATTGGGCCATCGGCAACTGAGTACGTGATTCATCTGCAATCTTTTGGGCTTACAACACGACGAGGTCGGGGGGCTGCAGCCAATAAATAAGATGTGCAAGTTTCAAGTTTACTTTTAAAGGTAACAGAACGCACGTACTACGGCGAGTGGCATTTAGAATACATACATGGTGAGTTCCACAGCACCACTCTGCGTCGGTGTGAAAATCTTCCTCGGCAGTTACTGTTATGTTGAACGGTGTCGAACGAGTGAGCATTTATCAATAATGAATTACTATGTTTGAATCGTCATCTAGCATTAATATTTGGTAGACACCTGAATTGATTCAAACTCTTCTCCGCCATCAAACAAATGTGTTGTAGAATGACGAGACAAGTTGCTGCCTACAACTCTGCATGGAAAATTAAGACTATTTGCCGTACTGTACAGTTTACTCTACATTATCGTACATTTTATAAAGATGGTAATAGTCTAGCATCAATTTATTTGAAGTTCTTAAAAGGCACACCTCTTACTTGCCTAATGGGAGTCCTTTATCGATGTTACAAGCGCATCCGACGTTTCTTCGTCATTTAGAACTGTATAGCTTTTGAATTAATTGAGCTATACTGATATTTTTTCAATATTCAGAGGTACTCTTCTTTATTTTTTTGCGGCTCACCTGAGCGTTTTGACAGGCCCAGTACAGCCATATATCTCTCTTATGTATATGATAGGCTAGATCAGCTGTTCCATTGACTATCCCATAGTAGCAAACGTTCTTCGTATCCATTGCAAGTATTGGTATCTTGTATATGGAACCTACTCGACACCGCTATGCAATTAATGTCATTCTTTCGCTTAGTTCCTCTCCGGCTTTCGATTATCATGCTTCGTCTATGGCGGTCGTATGTACTACAAATGTTAAATTAGTTTTTTACGAGGTTTTTTAACGTTTGTACATACGATCACCATAGACGAAGCATGGCTCAATCTCCAATCGAAAGTCATTGAGTATTCTCGACCGTAGTACAAGACTAGCCATCCGCTTAAGTATTATGTACGGCATAAGATGGCAAACATTTTTAGAATTAAGAGCTATGGAAGGTAACAATGAATGTGTTAAATTTCGTGCGAACAACAGAGATCTAAGAATCGGGTAGCCTGATATACTTAACATTCGAATATTGTCGCATGTAAAATTGCTTTTGTAATATTTTCATATTTGCATATCTTTATGCATATTTTTTAATGAATAGAGAGTGTCCCGAAATGTTATGTTACACAAAAAAAAATTCCGATTACATCGAATATATCGCAAAGTTTGAATTGACCGCTCCAGTCAGGCCAACGATAGATATATGTCATTGTTGTTGTCGGATGGACCCCGGTCTGTCCGAATAATTACCAAAGTTTTGTTTATGGACATTATTAAGCATTGTATTGACCAGAGCGATGAACGTAATTTACGCTAGCACGAAAAACTATAGATTTTGAGCAAAGAACTAAGTCGGATTGCCTTGGCTCGTGCCGGTTCAGAAGTAATTAATAATTTTCGTAACATAAATCGGTTTATCCTCATGAGGGTGGAGATGATAATTTCTGTTCACGTGAGCATTTTCTTACTTCAGAGCATGAACTACTTCAGAACCGCCACGAGCCAAAAGCGATCCGACTCTATAGCTTTTCAGATATGGCAAATTACGGCCATGATCGTTCTGATCAATACACTGCCAATAACAATGGGCTGTTGATTCACGGACACAACGTACATTTCATGTTAGGCCATACTGAACTCCTAATTTGAATATTTTCAGTATAATCGGTTGCTGGCGTAGATCATTTTTAAAATATCCCAACACAAGGCCCATTGGCGTCAGGTTTAGGAAATAAGCAGTGTATTCCGTAAGACCTTTGTCCCACTTATCTGCATAAGAAATTGTGCATCCTGCACACATTTGTGAACTACCTTTCTTTGGTCTGGACTTCTCCAATTCTAACGGCCTAAAAAGCAAAAGGCAGTTAACGTGCCGCTGATGACAAGCTCAAGACCACTGTCTTATATACTCATGAGGTCCTTAACTCGTCTGGTGAGGCTCGCTATGTCCTTGATTATCAAGACAGGAGAAATCGCGGAAAATAACAAAAAAATTATTACTGTTGAGGCCCCATGGCGGTTTATTCGATTTCACAGGACAATCAGCGCGGATCACAATACCTCATGCTACAGTATAGATTCTGTACGGAAGTCTAAGCGTAATTAGCACACACAAATGCTTTTTTTTTTTGGTGGTTTACTTTGTCTAATATGTTGATTCAGCCCAGGTTTTATAGCACCAACGACATCACACATCCCGTATCTAATCACATCATTAAAGACGTGCAAACATCTAATTAAAGAATGCCCTAACTGTTTGATTGTAGAAATCAACCCTTAGATTTTGATAGACTATTGATAAAACTATTAGATAGAGAGACAAAAATACCCGCGAATTAAATATAATCACAAATCTCAACCGTTGGCAAAATTACGTATCTCATAGTGAAGCAGCAGTCTTCGTACCAGCTTGTACCCGATGAATCATATGGTTACCTTCTTTCGTTAAACGTTCTTGCTTGTCCGATAAACCAAGGTTCATTGAGACGCTTGGCTTGTTGGACATTACCCATTAGAAAACGCTAAGCCCATGTCATACGAGAAAGCCCTCGATTACGATGAAGTAAACAGTTAAAGTCAATCCTATCTCTCCGAGGGCACACAAATTTCGTTGCCTTCGTTTTTCGTATTTTTATTACAAGTGCGTTTGCACATACTTATGTCTGCGACCATGTTGCAAAAGAAATACGACGCCATTGCAGATTGATCATCCGGGCAGCACTCTTTGTGGGTGCGATAAAGCGATGCACCATACCGTCTTAGATGTTAGCAAAAACGTTCAAAACTACAACTGATCCGCAACTGTAGAAAGAACTCACACTACCGTTTACTTACTAGTTAATCAAGCAGATCTGAAGTTCTGTTTCGTTGGTCACGCTGTTTCCTGCTATCTATTGCCCGCGCAAAAATGTCATTAGCTGGGTTTTGCTTGCTACCGTCTTCAATCCGCAAGGTGGCGCTGTTCGCGTCACTATAGCAACGAAGAGGTTTATTTAGTTGTTAAGTCAGCGTCAAGCTAGCGACGTTTGCAGCGTCAAGTGGTGAAAGCCACGATTGTAATTGTCTCATTGTGTAGTTGTCCGTTGGCCGCTGTGTAATGAACGTGTCTGCCGAACCAATAACCAAATGGCGAATTACCATCCCAAGCCGAGGGCCAGTACCAAACACCAACTGTATTAACAGTTATTTCAAAGAGTAAGAACAGCTCTATCTTGCTACATATAGGTGGTGTCGTTCATTGGTCCACAGTGGAACGGTACCCTAGATGAAGCTACGCCAATCAGCTGTTGTGCGAATCAGTTGAAGTGCGTCTCATGGGAGGACTATTGAAATGTCCTTATTTATTGTTTTTGTTGACTAACTGTAATATAGCGGAAACGTACCCAACATTCTAAAAGCAAAGTTGTTAAATATATTGTCCACGAACATTCTCTATATCGTTATCGTGCCGATGAGTGCTAGCTCGTTTTGACAAGTTATGCTGACCCGTTGTCATCGCCGTATTCAGTTCAACCGAGAGCTACACTATAAATCCAACCTTGTGTGCGAGGATCTTCTCCATGTGGCAGAGGAGATATTTGGAGAGCAAAAGTCAATTAGCAACGGAGTAAAAACCCGACGGCCTCATTCGGGGGGGGGAGGGGGGCCTTCGACAACTGTACTTTGTGAATGCGCTTGGGCCACTCGCGGCGCGCTGCTAACGCTGTATTCCGTGATTCTATAGTGGCCTGTGGAGAAAGAGGTGAGCCAGTGCATTTCAGAACAGAAGCGAACCAGCAATATACACGCGTCAGTAGATTTGTGGTACTGTGCAAGCGAGAGCTACGCAAAGGCACAAGTACTGTGAACGATTAGCAAAGACATGCCACATATTAGGCGTATTGTGTTCCAGCTAAGGTGATACGTACCGATTTTTTAAAAGTTCTCACAGGAAAATACGCCATCAGTTGAGCGTCAGATCTAGCAAAGCCGATGCCAAACCGAGGAAATTGCACAGCTTTTCTTAGCACCAGCATTACATTTACCGAACCTATGCTACGGCCAGCAACTTCATCATCGTTTCGGTGACAGGGACCCACAGATCTGGGTGGTTTGTGGTTGTAATCGGCGATAGTCGATTGTACCAGTGGTTAGGCTTAAATGCCTGGTAAAATCATTAGAAACTCCCTGACTAAAGTCGCTCGGCTCCTAGCCTACAGACGGATTCATGCGCGAGTCGTCGTAGGAAACCTGCAAAAAAAAGAAAAAGACGCAGTTCCCCGCGTTAAACTGGCCTGACTACACGCAATCACACAGCAGCTTAAAGAAGACGCAGACGATTAACGAAGTCCGAATCGCGTCGTCCCGATATATAAAAACCTTGATACAACTACTACAGCACAAATGAGTACCGAATGTGACAGACCAGACCCGCTGACCAAGGCCATGGACTCGATTGAGGTAGACGAAATAGTCGTCCGAAAGGTGACGGTGACCGATACGAAGAACTGGTTTAAGTATCGATATGTAATGCAGTTCCTTGTATTTTATGCCATGTTTCTTGTGTACGCGATGCGAGTAAATTTGAGCATCACCATCATATCCATGGTAAACCGGTCGGCTATTGCCCCAGTTAACATCAATAATGTGTCCGACGAATGTAAACTCTTTAATTCGAGTAAAATACATCAGGAAGACGGTCCCTACGTGTGGAACGAAGCAATACAAGGTTATATACTGAATGCGTTTTTCGTCGGCTATATCATAACCCAGATCCCCGGTGGATACATGGCTGATATGTTTTCGGTGAAGTGGGTATTCGGCTATGGGATCTTCTTAACTTCAGTGCTCACGCTTCTATCCGAGGCAGCTGTTCATATCCACGTTATTGCCTTTATCGCTCTACGAGTTCTCGAAGGCGTCTGTGAAGGTGTGACATATCCAAGCCTGTACGCTTTGTGTGCTCGTTGGTCCCCCGTAGCAGAACGGAGTTGGATGGCAGGTATAGCAAACCTAGGAACAATAATCGGAACTGTCGTCGCGATACCCGTATCGGCTCTCCTCTCAAACTCATCCTGGAAATGGGCCAGCGTTTTTTATGTATTCGGCTCGTTGGGGGTAATCTGGAGCTTGCTGTGGTATCTGCTAGCTACAAGTACACCTGAAAAATGCCGCTGGATGTCCGACGAAGAGAAATCATATATTATTAATACGCGTGGTGTGCTCAGCTTTGATAGCCAAAGTCGGCGTAAGATTCCCTGGATGAGCTTGTTAACTTCACGAGCCGTCTGGATCATATCATTCTGCAAGCTAACAAACAGCTTCATTTTCTACATTTTTTTGACAGAGATTCCAAACTATCTTCATTATATCTTCCTGTACCCGATAGAAAAAAATAGCTGGATCAACTCAGCTGCGTATACGAGTGACGCGATCGTTGCATTGATTTCGAGTTGGACGGCCGACCTACTGATTTCACGAAATCCGTCAAGAATCACTACCGTTCGTAAATGGTATGAATGTTCCGCGCAGTTCCTCGGTGCCTTAACCATTTTTCTTATCCCGTTTTGTCACTGTAACTATAAACTTGTCGTCGCTCTTCTAATTCTCAATTCGGCGGTGAATGGCCTGACGGCAGGCGGTAATATTGCTGTGCCTATTGACATTGGGCCAGCGCAGGCCGGCGCCATCCAGGGTTTTGCAAACACCGTGGCAAACATCGCCGGAATCATCGGCCCGCTACTTGTCGGAAGCCTCACAAAGGTAGGAAAACAGAAGAGTAATTTCCATTTCATTGAAACACCAATACGTTTATTATCGCGTAAAATCTCAGTATTTTCTGAGCTTACCAACGATTCTATCAGTTAGGCATTGAGCATAGGAATAGAAAGAAAAAGAAGATTTGCCTAACATAATATAGGAGCCAAGTAGCAATATATTGCATTGGTGAACCTTGTTTTCCGATGCTACCATACCCCTACGTAACGATCGTAGCAGTATTACAAACTGGAACAATAGTAACTCGCGCGGTGGTGAAGACTTTTTGATAGCCTCGGCATCAAAATACAAGCGTTTCTCAACGAAGATATCCAAAGTGCGACCAGAATAACGACTATTAGAAGCAAGGGTTTGCATGCAATTTTTACGGACAGATATGATCTCTTTAAATACTGTTCGTTTTGTGTGACAATCTAAGACTTAAAAATTGCAGCAAGAGCTTGCTATTTTGAGAGCTGGTTCGACAAATTGCCGAGAATATATCTTTGTAGATTTGTCTGCGATATTACTCTAGCTGGTTGAGTGTTTGCTATAAACGGGTGGAGAGCGACGCCAAAATGCAAACCAGCTTTTTTCCAATGTAATTATTTATAAAGAGCGAATATATTATACGTAGCAGAACATCGAGTGACATTTTTCTTATAATAATGCAGTTTCCATAGTACAGGCTTCCGCTGTAATCGGCAGCAGGTTACCTGCTCGTTTTTTTATCACCATATATCACCTACAGAAATACGGTCACTGCTAGCAATAATACGTTAAGATTCCAGTAATTCTTGGGACATCAAATGTTATGTTTGAAATGTGGTTTATTGATCTAGTTTTGCAATTAAGACCGTCTGAGAGATGATTACCCATTACATATAGCTGCCCCAACAAATTCTTATCGAGCTCAACAACAACATGCGTTCCTTACTACTATAGGAAACAACTGTGGGGCACGATAAATGATATAAAGTCATCACAAAAGACGGGAGCTTCCGAATGATGAGTACGGCATGCTTTTTTCCCGCACTGTAACTATTCGTAAGAAGAGTCAGGTCCCTATCGTCCGCGCGTATGTTTTTGTCATTTGCAATATACACACCGTTGCTATAATGCGCACGGCCTATATTCAATTCGAAGCACCACCAGCTACGATTCGTTAGAAGGACACACCCAAATACTTCGCAGTATCGAGCATTTTTCTGTTTAAGAACTGCAATTAGTACAATAAATTGCTATATATAGTCCAGCTAGACATTTAAAGAGTTAGCAAAAGCGTTCCCCAATACTATTTCTGGCAGTATTCTGAATCTCACTAGTGTCGCACTGAAATAACCTCCGTAAGATATGTTGCATAAATATGAATACAAATCGACTAACTTTTTTCAAAAGGGTTTTTGAAAACAAGACATACGAGCCCAAACGGGTGGCTTTATGATGAACGATCTGGCCAAAACGCATGTGTTTTGTATCCGCGTTGTCCTCCAAACAGTTTAAAGGTTACGCTAACGAAACGCCCGACGCTAAGGTGCCCCACGACAGGCTTTCGTGACTGCAACTCCCTATAGTTTCGTCGCCAACGTTACGTTCAATTGATCTGAGATCCTTCTCTCAATTAGTCGTGAGCTTTTGTCGATATCAGCTAGGCCTCTTTTTGCCTGCCACAATTCTGAGAGCATTGTACCGATCGTATAGCTTGAAAGATTTACTTTTAAGCTTCGTTTTTATCTAGGTGTAATATACTAAACGCATTTATGTCAAGTTCGTTAAAACATTTATTAGGAACATGTCGGCACCGCCTGTTTCCGTTACGGGCTTGTTGCCCCTTTAAGGTTCTAGCTGTTAAGAACAAGCAAATATTCGGTCATTAGATGTACAGTTAAGACAGCGCCGTGAATAATAGCGGCGGGGTAGGAGTTGTAAACAGAACCCCTAATAGTTGATTTTGCAGCGTCCTTAAAGTTTACCGGTTTTTTTTTGGTAATTATAATAGCATTTTCAGTGCGCGAAAACTTTCTTATGCGTAAGGTTCTCAAATTCTATGCGGGCAAGCAAATGAGTCTTCGCTCAATCACTGTAATCGAGCGTGACATCTTCTTTTTTTCATTGAATAACAGCATTGTCAGGTCGAAAACCCCGTGAGTCACGTCGAGATATCATGACATACACTACAAGCTTAAAATTACCGAAGTTTTGGCTGATAAGTTTGAGTATGTAGAGATATTTTTATGAACTTAAGGTAAAGACCAGATCGCATTGTACACTAAATAAGCGAGCCGCTACTTTCAGGCGCCAGTTACCCGAGCTAATTCCACTTGTTGCAGTGTATATCATTTTCGTAATTACCATCTGTTGAACGCTTGAAAGATCTTTAACATACATAATAGTCACATCTGATTTGTATAGTTCATCTTCCAAGCGAGAATTTTGTCTGAGATCTTGGCTCATATCTAAGCATATCATGGATGACACCATTTAACCTGTGACTCTTAGATAGATCACGAACTCGCATGCATATATGTTCTTCGATTGATTACCTAGTTGCTATTTAAAGATGTAATAAATATTCGTAATTAGCATATAATTATCGGCTAGAAAACCAATCACATGGTTAGGTCATAGTCATACTACAAGGTCTTCAGGCCAGCATGATACACCTGGGATGTAAAACTGACGTAGACTCAAACGCCTTTCTGGCATTATGCGCATCTCGTAGATCTAGAACTTATATATTCAATAAATTCACACTTTGACTAGATTTTAATGACCATGCAAAATCTCATTTAGAGTAAAAGCTGAATTGATAGCTATATCAGGTACCTATAAATGATGGCAACGCTACGCAGCCAAAACTGTGGTACCCTTTGAATGTGTGGTTCGTTTCACAAATCTTGCTTGACAATAACAAATACCTATATTTGCGCTCTGCCGATATATCCGTTCTCTTCACTCTTTCAATAGCGCTTGTTGTAAATGACGATCCTTAAATTGTTTTGATTGCACTCGTTTGTAAATTGCTTAAATAAAATTATACATTTTATTACCGATGCTACAACTTGTTAAAAGTCATATTAGCTAAGTAAATTGACTGACTTCTACATGATTTGGGTTACATTTCAAATGTTGACCTTTTACTTTCGTATCGAACGTCACAATCCGTTAAGGGAAAGCGGACTTCCAAACGGAAAGTTTGGATTACTTTATTATTTTGGGTTCGTAGATTTCAATTTGTTAATCGAATAGCGTTTTGTAACAATCTAACGGAACGAATTGATAGTGTCAGTTAACTAGCCTTCACTACTCTACCTTGGAATGGTATTACAGAATAACGAGACGTTCGAAGCGTGGAATACGGTGTTCTTCATCACAGCCGCGGTCTCACTAACCGGAGCGATCGTATTCTTCTTCTGGGGCACCGCCGAGGTTCAGAAATGGGCCAGTAATGATGATGAGGCTACAATACTCGTCAGCGAAGATGAAAATCAAAAACGGCACCATTCAGACTGAATCACTGACACGTAACATCTCTGGGTAAATAGAATCTCGGAAGAAGTAAAATCTTACGAAAATCGCCACTACCGCCTGTTGTTGCAACAATCAAAGTCGTTAACTGGCCAGCTTTGCTATCTACCTCACTGTTGACTAAATCAACTGCTTTACCAATTCTACCTGACTGACGGTCGAGTGACGCCGAAGACGACATTACTATCGCTCCTACCATACAACATAGGATAATCTTACATGCATATCGATAGTCACACGAAGTTCTTCAAAAACTGCAATCGGGCCCATTTTCATAAAGGCTAACATTATTTCAAAACAATAATAACAAATTGACACACATAATCTCCATACTATGATACTATCCTACCATGGATTTTCAATTTCAGCATACACGTGCACGCACGTATATATTTATATATATATATATATATATATATGTATCGTGTATGTGTGTCTATGCTATGATATGTCAAATAGCTACATGTAAGCCTTGGAAAATGTTAGACACTATTCGACAGGATCATGGACGCGAGACCCCCTGAAATTAATCTTTCACAGTACAATTGGGGGTCTGGACATACAGAAATGACCTGTAATGGAAAAACCTTTTCAAATACATACCTGTAGTGCGTACTCAAAAACTGACTTATTCGCGCGGGAGTCTATCGGGCAGATTTGTTCGTTAACGAGGCTGTTATATGTTGCTCATTTAGATGGATGCATCTGCCTTTTACGTGCTAATTAATACGTAAAATTGTTCTATGATGATTTGTTGCGATAGTGTCAGTCGTCGTCGCAAGAACATCGAATACTTTGATTTTTTTTTTTAGATGTCCAAGTATCATTGGGAACGTTTAACGTATTGAATTTTTTTGACTGAGATGTGTCATACTTGCAAAAAAAAAAAGCTAACAAGTTAATTTAGCCCCACGGACTAGAGGACACTTAACGCGACCAATGTTCCAAATATAGGGCTGATTTTATTTGCTTTACTTTCGGGGTGTATATGTGGTATCTGTGTGAATATCGTGCGGAGTGTGCAGATTAAACTAGATAGCGTAAAAGATAATGTTTTATAGGCGTTCTTTTACAGAACGATCCGTCACTAACCAGTCGGCGTTGGGCAATCGAAAAAAAAAACGTGGAATAACATAATTTTCAATTTTTGTTTACTCATATTCTATCCTAAGCGTTTTCTAGACCAGCGAATACGTATCACACAATTTAATCTACCTCTCTTAGGTTAATGTACGTTTACAAATAGAAACCTAGCTATAACCTGTAATCGAATCTTAGAATAGTGTGTACTGAATGACATTATATCGATTTTGTGTGAGTACGGGTGCCATAGCTATGGCTGTTACAATTACCATTAATACGATAAGTACAATTGGATCATTGCGTCAATGTACTATTAGTTAGTATTTTAAATCGTTCTTTATTGACTGTCGTCTTGTGGTTTGCTAATGTTACTCGAATAGAACGTTTGTGTTATTTGTTATTATTTGTACTATCAGATAAAAGTTTATAGTCGAATATATATTAGTATTAGATCAATGCGATAGTGATGGCTATTATTGATTTCTTATGTATACACGTAGATTGTGCAGTATGTATCATTATATATGTATATATATATACACGTACATACATGTTACATCAAGTACGCTAGAGGAACATTTAAATAAAAAGCGAAGCTACATTGATATCAAGTGCTTCTTTATCACTTAAAGGAACTATACATTTATTTAGGTCGTCGCAAGAGGTATGTCCATTGTGAAGCACCTTTTCTCTGTACGTACACTGTATCATAGAAATCATATCCAAAAGCTATTCGTACTTGAAAACAAACAATAATAAATGAGTCCTTTCACGGTGCTTGTATTGTGTGCACGATCCTGGCTGCCGGTCATGTAAGCGTTACAATTCAAATCTCTATAAAGGTTTCTGCTAGACGTAAATCATCGACGATCATTAACGAATGCGGCAAGCAAATAGCCAATCCAACTGATGTATAAGTCAAACGCGGTTTTAATGTGTCATGAAAAGAAGAGTATACGGTGATCCGATCGCACGAACGGCTCCGGCGTCTTCCACAAAAGCCGTGATAACTGGCCGTGTGGAACAAAGCACCTCGCAGCAGCCATGGGGCCGTGCGGAATACGACAGAACACAGTGAAATGAAAATTAATAAGTGGGTTTTTAATTACAGTTGTCATTAAAACGGATGCACGATTTATGCTTGTGCGCCCCGGAGATTGCTTTAGGTCATTTGAAGATGCGCTGTTAGAACTGGCCGCGATTTTACTAAATGTTAAATGTTTCCCAAGTTCCTATAACGAACGAATTACTCGATGGCCTTATCGATAACTTAACCTTTTCTGAATAAGGCCAACCGAAGTTCACAAGGCAAACGACGCAGTTCCGCCTGCTCGGCCCGACTCCAGCCGGAAGAAACCAGCCCAAACTCTGGCCCAATCAGTGTGACCTTAATCGATCAGATTAGCACGGGATTACCACATTTACGTGCTGCTATACCTTCGTTGGTATGTACCATCACATCGATTCGACAATCGATAACTACAGCCTCCAAATAAAATACCTTCAAGGGCTCACAGCGTCAATGAAAGAGTGACGTATTGGTATCTCCCGCAATCTTACCATGTGTGTATGTGTATGTACACGTGAATGCACCAGCAGACGATAAATGGATGAAACGATGCTGGTTGGCATAACTCGCTGTGGTACCTAAACGAATAATGGCAATGATTTCTTGTTTTTCAAAGTAATTTTACTTTACGCATATACTATTAATACTTTCTACGCTTTTAGTCACTTTCTCTATGTTCCTACGACGTTATGTCGCTCCATCGATATTTCAAAAATGTTTATAGCATATTTTCAATGTTGAATGTCCAGAATGGCCAGTTTGGCTGTACGAGTGTCATGCTATGGTTAAGTGTGAATCAAACAGATTAATAAGTAGTGGCATTAATAACAAGAGAACTTAAGTAATTTCAGATTATTGGTAGATTTACCTCCGGGGCGTAGCTGGTGCAGTACCGCTGCCTGATGTCTATGATAGTTCTTAGCAGCATTTTTATATTGATGGGCATCGATGCACGTGCCCCTTTGCAACTCGATACCTTTGCAAATCAGTTTGAAAAGACACGGAACGGATTAAGGTTACATGCAAAGTGTATGTACGACTTTCAGTGCACGTAGTATGTTTATTAAATGTGTGCACCCTCTTATATATGCAGGAAATTTCGTGATATATTTTTTTCGAAGTTTATTCAACTTCAACGTGTACTATACAGATTCAGTGTTTTAAACAAAAATAGAAGCAAGAATTGCAATGAAATTAGTGAATCGATCGACGTATGAACAAATTTGCAGATTTTAATTTCTGTTCGGATCTCAGTTTGGCAGTTCCAAATTCGAGACGTAGTTAAGGCGGATTTATGAACTGTATTCTCGTTATGGCTGGGAAAAACTATTGAGATAATGAATAATTTACTTCCTTTTATTTGAACGTTTTTTTTTTTCATTTAGACTCTTTGGTATCGTATCTTCGCCATTGTGCATAAGATCTCTTCAACAGCAAAGGCGTGCATAATTAACATTCAATATGAACTTTCCTTGCAGTCACTATCCCATCGGAATCGTTTTTAATAAATCAATAAAAGGAGCACTTATTATTTGTTAGCTTATAGATAAAAGTGGTCAAGTAGTAGAACGCAAAATCTAACGTACTATTGGTAGTAATTATCATAATTTTAATATAATTAGTCGCCACCATAATAGTGCCACTTTCCGAACAAACCCAGTATTTCATGTGACTTTGTAAGTTTTCGATACATGAGGGCCACGCCACGAACATAAGTTCAGCATGTACGGAGAAGTTGATTCGCTGAGTTTAGTCAGGTCAAACATCGAATGAACAGTCTTTTTATTTGTTTTCATTGTTGAAGTAGAAGCCTTCATGTCTGCCAGGTGATTTTGGTACCTCAGCAAGTCATCAACCAATTTTTGCATCTAATTTTTTCACGCAATACGTTGGCAACATCTAGACTGTATTTTTTGCATAACTGGACTATACTGAAAAGGCTTAAAATTAAAGACTGCGACTTTCAATTGAAGATATTACTACGACGCTAGATCACGTTTGTTCTTCTACGCGGAACATTACACGTCATTGAGTTGTTAGTTAGGTCGTGCTAGATGCCAGTTTAATGTTCCTCTACTCTAATTTTCCGGTGCTTTGGATCGCTTTTAAATAGGCGACATCTCATCTAACTTGTAATGCGAGAGTGCATACGGTAACTTCTAACCTAAAAGACAATGAATTAAAACAGCCTTTGCATGCAACCGTTGAATTCAATCTACACCTCTTCGTCTGGACCTTTCTGGTTCTCAAATGGCCATATTTGTGGGTCGCAAAGCTCCGATCCTTGCGCATGAACAGGTAGGCTATAACGAAAAGGGGAATACCTACGAGTTGCTGTAAAATGAAAGATCCTAATTTTGCTACATAGGAAATTTCTGAATTCGGGCCATGTTTAGCTTTTTTTTAGCCTTCTTTCAGAGGCTCATCTGGACTGCAAACGTTACAAACATTGTGAAGGACCCGTTTCTTGCTAGGCTTAGCCTAGCAGAAACTAAGTCGTTGGCAAGCCCTTTCATGATTATAAATATAGTTGCCTTTACTAGTCAGTGAACAAAGTTTTTTGCCTATGGCCTATGAAGACTGCTTATTGATTGCATTGCTAGGCATCACATACCGATACTGTCGTCGACTCTGCTTCCCGAAACTGAATATAATGTTCTAATTCCTTTGGCAATGTTTTATTTCATAATATTCACATCAAAGACAATATTGTGTTTTTGTGTTATATTTTATAATTTTAAGTTATGACTGTGTCGGCTAATAAAAAGCTAAATATTTTCGGGTCCGCTTGTACCACCTCGTTATCGACGCTTATTTATTTCTACCTTATACCTGTAGACTATAAATATAAGACGCGAGAATCAATTGTTGAAAGTTTTGTCGAGAAGCAATATTATCGTAACAGACAGTTTAATACTCATGCCTCAAAAAATATGTTCACTGAAAAATATTTTTGAAGTATCTATTATTTGCCAAGCGTCGTTTTCTCCGACTGCTAAATTTACCATACCTTGCAGTCTGGAGTGAACCGTACACTGAGCGAGAGCCATAGCTGATACTGTAGTCTAGCAAATGCCCCTGCTTTAGCGTAAGGCACCGTTAGAATTTGAAACTATATATTAATTGATCAATATCTCTTTATGGTTGAATTTAAGCAATTTCACTATTTCCGTCAGCGGACAAAACAGGACTTTCAGTCAAAACGGATGATCTCTAATCTCAAACATTTTTTTTACCGAGTAAAATCGTCGCTTAAAATTATGCGAATCGCTGGTCTAGTGATTTTTTGTCGGTAGTTTGAAAGGTCGAAATAAAAAAGAAAATGAAGAATTTTATATGGACGTTGAAAAATTACTGTATGCCGTTAGCATCCTCGTGGAAATATTGTTTGATTTTTGTTTTTTTTTATTTAACAGATTTTGAACCTAAAACTGTAAAAACCTAAGGTACAACCTTTGGACCTTTTACGCCTGATCGAGTCACTAAGCTTACGAGTTTTTTTACTTTCTTTTTTACTTTTGCTTCTATTAATAACAGGTACAGTTATCGAATGGAACACGTTTGTCTTATCATAGATTGCTAGAAGAAAAGCAACTTAGAGCTGGTGCCAAAAATAACGTATAACAACTTTTAAATCGTTAATCGTTGCCATTAGTACAATCTACGAGACCATTTCGTATGAGTACATACTGCCTCTGTCACGGAAAACACAAGATTATGTGAGTACTTGCTAAAGGTATTTATATCTTTTAAGGTACTTTTTTAAGTCTTTCAGCCTGCTCTAAGCCGATGCTTAGTACGGGATTCAGAGCATTCTATCGGGGATTGGTAGCGGGAATGAGCTTATATAAGCCCTAGTGGACGTAGGGAAGTCAAAATGTCATGCGGTTTCCTTTTCTACTCATCGATGCGTTTTTAATCCCTTTAGAAGCTTAAATGAATACCACATTCATAGCGACTAATTGTTTCAATGATACATTACTATTCATTGGTAAATTATTCCGGAAAGTCCGTTTATTTCGTATAGGTGCTTTATCTAAGCCAATGAAGATATTTAGCTTTCATTGTGTTGCGCTAACTAGAAATTAACGTTCAGCTCTGTAGTTACGTTGGGGATACCAAAATGATCCATGTATAAACTTTGCTCGATGCATTGGTAATTAGATGTAGAGCCTACGACCATGATTCGCTACCGCATTGAGACAGTTATCGTCTCTTCCAGTTGTTCTAAAATAGGAGGAGCACATGCTTTTAGACCAACGAGTTAAAATAGAGTTTTCGAGAATTAGGCAAGCTCCCAATATTCGATTTGTGATTTCCTTCAAAAGTAACATCCTACAAAGTCTTTCTTAAACCGGCTGCAGATGGTAGGCTATTTGCTCTTTGCCACGTTCTCTCTTCTCAGATAAGTAGATATAAGAGAATGCAATCACTCCAGTAAATCACCCTAGCTAGCTAACCTTAGAAACACCTCCTCTCTCTGTTCTCCGAAACAGCTCCGGCTTTGGTTCATCCAGACGAAAGGCGTTATTAAAACGCCGAACCTAAACAAGCGTTCCCGAAATGTGAAAAACCCTAACAGATTATCTCGTATATCTATAAACATTATGTACAAAATGCATAATATTTCAATCAATCGTTTGGTAAGCACGTTACAGCATCAGTTGTACCGCCAACTAAGCGGAACTAGATCATGATGAACATTACGAAAATTAAAGGCCTGCTTATACTTGATAACCGAATTTAAATATGAATTTGTTGTTGTCAATTGTTCTTTTTACGTTGGGATACGGTCACAGCCTCCGGTACTTCCTCAGTTATACCACTACCAATAGAATATGACAGTTGTGATTAGTTGCACTTCTGGATTACCAGAATCCTCTACTAAGTCCTAAATAAGCCTTGTATCTTTTCTAATTTAGCTGCAGTCAACAGCTCAACTGAGATAGAACGTACGATGCTAAACACGTTAACGTTATAGAGGATATGATGGGAGTAAAATATACTTTAGAGTAGGTCACCTGATCGTCTCAACTGCATTCGGACGGAAACTAATCCATAGGGTATCATGCAATCTATTGACGATGGAAAATTTTTATACCAAAAAATTTCGCTTTGCTTAACCTTTCAGGTTTTACATTCGGTGTGGTAACCGTTAAGCACTGCTTGAGGACAAAGCAAAATGTGCCTAGATCTGTGAAAGAAAAGTATATCTACTTTGCGCATTTGAACGTTAGTACATAAACACGTTGCCACTGGCACTATCATGCGGACAAAGACGTTTTGCCTCACTTAAATTATGGCTTTGCAATATTTCAATAGTAATAGGTCTAAAAATAATTTAATGGTCCTTATTTGTCCGAATTTCGTTGAACCTAGGTAATTATGATGTTCATATACATTCAGTATTGGCCAGCTGGGAAGCCGGTTCGAGCCCCACCGAAGACGTCTATCATACAATAAATGTAATGAAATAGTTAAAAAAACATAAACACCCAAATAACAAAATACATGACCTTTTAAAAATTGCCAGAAATGATTATTATATGTAAGTAAATTGAAAATTCGCTCTAGTTACGTTCTAAAAATTAGCCTGTTCGTTTCGAATTAATTCTAGGGTCAATTCGAAATTACGTTACGAGTCGAAATGCTTCTTTCTAAATGAGCGTCTGTATCGAATTATTACTAGTCCAGTACAGCGCTATTAATTGCTGGCAACGGTACGGAAAGCTAGTACTCGGTTTATTGTTTTCTAAACGTAAATTGTTTTTTCGAGAAGTTTTTGGACACAATTCAACGTCTGTCATATTCGTTTCTACTTGCAGCGTAACACCTTGCAAAATAGATACATCACAACGATTTCATAGCATAATGTAGCTTAACGGAATGATAAATATCAATACGTGGAGAAACTAATTCCAGGTGAAGATTTGCTTTTGGAAATCGTATGTGTAATTCATGTTCATACAATGACAACTCTATGACATTTTATTACGGCTGAGAAGGCAACGAAAAGATGTTCTTTCTCTTATAATAATCCTCAAAAAAGCCCAGACTTCACACTCTTAGTGTTTGGCTCCAGACCTTGCATGTACTTGCTTTAACAAAAATACGCCTCCCTAATCAGACAGTTTATAGGCCAGCGTGATGCCCGAATAGTAGATATATATATATATATATAGTAAAAACCACCGGGCACACACTGCTCGACGTAATACTGATAACATACGACGCCCACGGATGTGATATCCGTAATCGACTAGTCACTAACAAACAGCTTCGGACAATTTTCATATATCGTATTAGTTTCAGGGTGATTTCTCGTTAGAAGAGGACATTTTGAAGGCAAGTAAGTTTTCGTCAAAAAAAGCTAGAACTTTTATTTTGAAATTGAATACTTTTAATAGCATCTGGTCTCGCGCTTACGTTTGAACCATATGGAGATAGTTCAGCTCCGTTTTTATAACATATCCAATGCACCCTACGGTAAAACTAAGAATAATCCAATTGTGATTATCGGAAAATTTCCAATGTTGCGCGGAGCGCTTCTCTACGAAAAATTTGAACCTCATTTGTTTGAAATAAACTAAGACAATTAACTAGAAGCATTTAATCGCCTTCTAATAACATGCCCGTAATAAGTGCATATATCATTTGTACGGGATAAATCCTTTTTTTTTTTTCAACACCGGTATTCACGTACATTTAAGGCTTGTATACAATTTGATTTTCGTCGTTTTTGCAATATTAAATTTAATTGGTAATAAATGTGTTCAGTTAAAGAATATATATACGTGCTGCCGTAATGAAACTATCCACGAAAACTCAAGTCTCATTAATCTTAGTTGGCTTGCTGTGGCTGTGAACAATGGAAGCGTTATTGAAAGAGACAGATTCCCTTATACTGTTGTATTAATGTATGAACGAAAAGTATAGGGGTAACAGATAAGAGATCTGAAGCAAAGCTTAGCAATAATACCAAACTGAAAACTAAAATCACTAATATGTCTTAATAGAAAGCTAATTTTTTTTTCTTATCTTCAAAGGCATCACGATTATTCCTAGCCGCTATGATGTATTCTTATGATCAATACTGTGAGCGAAATTTACAAATTGTTAAGATGTGCTGAACAAACGATCGTTACTATAATTACTAAGGCTTAAACGGAGACACTGGTTTTCAAAGCTTTCAGCTTGGTTCAAAACGCAAGATCGCACCTGCCCCTAGTTCATATGACACAACGACATTTATAGATGTATGCAATAAGGTAGATACTACCAAAGGGCAGAACTTTCATTTTAGTTACCGATACTTAAGGTGACCTGAGAAGAGGAAATTATAGACTATAATTGCTCCTAATAATCATACAATATCGAGTATCCCTGAAGCAAATTACATAGCTAGAAAAGATTTTGTCGTTGTGCCGGTGCAGCAATCGCGTAGATTACCCAGCTGAGCACGTGGTGTTCGCCGGAAACACTCTATCAAAAAAAAAAATACTGTTTGAAAGAAGAAGTTTAGGATGCCCGTCGCAATTAGCATTTTAGGCATTCGGCGCCGTAAAGGCTATCCAAGCTCAGCTCTAGGCATAATTTCGAAATTGTTGGATATGGAAGACAGGTAATAGGGCGTACATGGCAGCGAAAATGATCTAATTACAATTGCCGGAACAACGCCACTGTCAATACTATGTACAATGATCGTGTTATTCCAATCCGTCCTAACAGCTGGACTTTTGAACCTCAATTCGTAGAATCCAGTATCGTGCGCTTCCTGATTCCAGAGCACTTGCAGCATCTCGGTGTAGTCATGTCAATCGATGATCGCCACAATGAGCCACCAACCGTTACTCCTCTTCAAACAAAAATCACTGGAGAGTTGTGATTTTTAATTAATCTGTTTTTTTTTTTTTCGTTCTAAGTTGGCTTTTAATAGTCTATGAAAGTTATAAAATTGTTACGTCTATGAGAGCTGGGATCTATACTTCACGCCTGGAGGGCGAGTTTTACCTTTCTATTGTTTACTGGTCCGTCTATATAGCCTGGCTCTAGCAATACACAGTGCATGCAAAACAAAAGAAAAAATATATAAATGCTATACGATGGACGTGCCTTCTGCGACTGCATTTGTTTTACCTAGATGTGAAATAAACCCCGTGGATATTCATTTACACTGAATTTTGTGATATGCAGTTTTCTTGCTTCAGTTTTGTATTATACGAGATATTTGCATATTATATACTTAGCAAAAGTTACTAACTAAGCAAAAATTCTAACTTTGAAATGTCAAAACCCAAGCTTACTCTTGCTTCAAAAGCTTCCTTCCTCTTTTAGTGTATCGGTTCAATTGTTATAACAAACAACGATACTTTAACTTATTTGTGTGTGACACAGCCACGATTAACCAGTTTCTTTACGCTGTTAGTTACTTTTCAGCTCAACGTTTTCCACAAAAGGTATGCTGTTGTTCTTGTGCTTAACTTAAGTTACACAGGAGGAATATTCATTGGAATCTAACGAAATCAATTCCGTAACTAGATACGAGCAATCGACAACCCCCTTTAACCCCAGCAAAATCAGTACTGAATCCGGCTTGTCAATGTAGTTTTTCAAAACGCTAACGTTGTGTCATTTGTGAGAGATTAGCTATTCTGTTTTTAGGGCAGGCGTTACGCTTGCATTAGTACTACACATGGGATCACTATCAAGCCCCCTGAACTATCGACGATTTTTGTTTCGCTACACAAATCCAGCCAAATGAAGAAGCGGTATTCGTATGCGTTGAGCAAAAAGCTTCGTAATTATTTGCTACTGTAGTATTGGCAAAAATATGACCATTTCTATTTTGTACATCAAGCGCGTCAAAGCCTCACATCGTCTCTCGCTATCGCAATGGCCTCAATTTCTACCCGGGCATCCTGTAAGTAGTAGTGATTTAAAAAGTAAACAATTATTTAATTATCCTGAAAATAAATCACCGTAAAATACGAAACACGCTACAGTTCATATAAAATCAGTAACATTGACAGGAGAATTTTTTGCTCTATTGTTTGCTTTGAAAAACACGCTTGCAGATGCAGAAATTAGCCCAGAATTTGATTAAACAAATTGCCATTAAAATTAAAAAGTGGCGAAAGGATTTAATTGTTTAGGTTTTGTGAATTCGTGCTTTTACAGCCCAATGCCGCACTTGATAATGCATTTGCAGGGCAATGCAGCCAGTCGTTCGATGGCGCTACCATCGAACACGACAACACTGGACAAACAACAACAACAACAACAACAATGGAGGAGAAGCGAACTAACAAACATAACGCAGTAGAATCAATAGATAGTTTTCTAGCAAATATTCAATTTTCTATTAACACAGAAATACTGGCGTACCATGGGTAAACGAGCAACCTGAACACAGGAACGGGCCGGAGGGTCCGATGGAAAAACTGAAATAGACAGTAACTGAATATTTTAAGAAAAAAAAAAACCCAATATTCACCAGTCTGTCCTTAAACTTGAATCGGAAATATTAATCTCGCTAAGAGATTTAATTAAGAATTGAATGAAAAAGTGGTTGGGTGTTTACTGCGTCCAAATTCTATCAACGATTCTTTCTCTTTATAAGAAGGAAACCAGAGTGTCGTCGCATTTAATAGAGCCAAAACAAAAGTAGCAAACAATTACTTATTTAAATTTACATTAATAAAATATTTTCCCCAGCTCAGCGTCAATGGAATAAGGCGTACTCACATTCGGCGTAAACGCGGTTCATGTCAACGAACTCCTTCATGTCGGCAATGAATATTGTACACTTGACAACTGCAATATATTAATTTTACTGATGTTGCCATAGCGAGATCTATATACGAATATCAGGCGTCTACAATAAAACAGTGATTGTTGTTATCTGTGATCGATTAGTTAGATCGATTAGATTAATTAGATCGAGATTCTGATTTTAGTTAGAACGGTTACCTTCAGCCATGCTAGACCCGGCGTGCTCCAGAATTCTTTTGAGGTTTTTCAACGCCTGGCGGGTTTCCGGCGTGATGCCTCCATCGACAAGCGCCCGTGTATCAGGGTGGGATCCCACTTGCCCAGACGTATAAACCATATTACCCGACTTAATGGCATGACTGCAACGAGATCATAACGTACGGAGAACGCGTCATATGTGAAATAATATATTGAGAAGAATAATTCATGTGTTAGGAGTTTATTGGCATGGTATCTTCTGTACTGTTCTTATTTACCTATTATAAATAGACAAAGCAAATCATACATTGACAATTAATAGCTGCCTCGATAAAAGAAATCTTTTGTGCACACCTATATGGGCCAATCGGCTCGGGGGCTTTGTCCGTATTGAACACCTTTCTCGTGAGCGACATGCTGACTGATGAGGTACTCCGGCCTACAGTGATCGCACAATGATCATGTGAGAAAGCACATTAAAAACATCATATCTAAGGTTTACTAGAATGCATTAAGTCTATCATTATGATAATAATAGCATTTTAAATAGTAATTATAATTGTAGATTAGTATATTTGAATGTTGAAGAGTTACTATAAAATCTATTATCTAGTATCGAGCAGCGTGCAATCGGAGATCGCGCCTTCCATCATAGCTTTCTTTTATTATTATTATTATCTTTACAGGTATATCGCACAGATCATTCGTTGACTTTTTTTTTATATCGCTATTATAAGAGTATTGTAATGCCCCATACAAGTTTAAACCTGACTGCGAATTAAATTTATTAGCTTGCTTCAAAATAAGATCCTGAACTTACCTTCAGGTACCCTTGACACTTACTAATGGAGCTGATGTCGTCTTCACACGTTTAAATCTCACAATGTTTGAACAGACAACACGCACTTTAAGTAGCCAGAAAAAGTACCGTTCGTGAATCTGTTGAGCCTTCTTATTGTTGGCCGGTATGCCAGATAAGTTGATATCGCGGACAACGCATGGCTCAATCGCTCGTTTTATCTTCTCAAGCGTTGCCGGCACTGTTCAATCCATCCGTTACACAGTGGTGTTTTCGCTGTTTATTATGAGCGTAACATCATCGTCTGCTAATTTTAAGTAACGTTCGGACTCAGCTCGCGCTGGTAAACTCGGTTTCTGTGCGGTGGTCGATTGATACTTCTAACTGGTATTCTGTTTTACATGATTTCTAGCCATAGCCGTGTACCATCCAGTCGAAAGGCCGGGTGCATGCATACGGTGACGGCTTTTCTAGCTGTGGAGTCAACAAGTATCCAAAAGTCGGGAATTATGAAAAAGTGCCCCCCGGATAACGGCCAATGAGCCGAAACTTTTACCCACAATAACAGTGAACTAGAGCGTATTACTGAATAGCCTTATGAGGTCGTAAATATAGCGTCATTATTACAGAACTTTCTACGTTCAAAATCATTCAATGGGCAACTAGCTGCAAATTGCTTTGGAACTCGTATTTATTCTTAGCAGTGGAAAAATATAAATTCCATTTTGATTCAGCTTCCTCACAATACAAATGTATAGACTACGGCGCTATATCTTAAGTCCGCTCTCGTTAGCTGGTAACTGCTGGTGCTTCCAAGAGCGTATTAATTCAAGTGACAACGAGAGTTCAATAATAGGATGTAAATGATGTTAGTAATAAATATTTGAGCTCAATAAAATTTATAGTAGTTCTATTAAGTAATAAGACTGTGGTTATATTAGCACGCCATCTATATATATATATATATATATATATATATATATAATACTATATTTATGTAATTCAAAACTAAGAATATATTAGGTCTATCTACCAGTTGCACGGGCACATAGCCTCGACCTTTACAGCCACTCTTAAGTTAAAGTCGTCGACACTCTATGTATGGCTTCCATTAACTTGACCACAGTTTAGCAAGCAGTGGGTAGCACGCGAGGGGAGGGCCCTACAGCGATGCCTCAAGTGGGCTGTCTCACGCCGTAAATGACCTTCAGAATTGATTTGCCTTGTAAAGCATCGTCATCTATACTGAGAAATACTGTGAAGACCGCAGTGCTTTACGAGCTATTCGAAAGTAAATTGTTGGCTGACGCTGTTCGCCGCTTAGGTACTACATGGAATTATGTCACGTTGGAACCTTTACGTTTAGTAATGTTCTAAAATACCTAGGTGGTTTCATGGTACTTGCCACTGGTACGTTGATAGAAGATATAGCAGATAACGTGTGCAGACTCTATAACTTTTTACCTATATATCACGAGAGACCGTTGCTAGAACTTTGTCCTAGATTAGCCTGTGTTTTCTGCCTTTTGTAGAATAGCCGCGTTCAGAGCAGGATTTTCCAGGGAAAAAATTAAGCTTCTCATATAGGCTGTTCTCATTTTGCAAGTATCACATATTAAGCAAAGTAGACGTACCTTAGAGGTGTTTCCTACACTTATTTGGCCAAATGCCCATCTAGTACGACTAGAACTGAGCCCGATTTGTCCTGACATTATAGGCAATATTTGTGCTGTGTCTACCCTTCTCTTTTTTATTCAATGAAATAAAAAAATAATGAAGATTTTACAAGGATGCAACGATCCTAATGTAATTTATCTATGAAGCCTTCGTCTGGCCTTTATGGTCAGTCTAACGAATAGTACGATCGTTAGATACGATTGATAACTATGCACTCTGTCTCTAACCCGGGTGGCACCTGATTCTACTGTATCATATTATACTGGATAGTCCAAAACGTATTGACGGTTTTTTCAAGTCAGATGATTTCGAGGCATTGGTATAATTTAAAACTTTAGACAGCTTTAAGGGAGTAATAGATGTGCTGACATTATTGTTGTTGTTAACATCTTTTTGTATAGACTTTCTAAGGAAATTTGTTAGACTTTATCTTTTAATTTTACTACGATAAAGGCACGAATGCTGCCCGGATCCGGAAAAAAAGCCGTTTGTGCTACTATTGCTCCAAATGGGTTACTGTAACCTAAAGAAGCCTAAAGATAGTTCGATTGCTTTTCTTTTGGAAATTTCAACATGAAAGACGCTCCTCGCAATGGTTAACTAGTTACGGAATAGTTTCTTTCTAGCAAGATTGACACGTGAATACCTATGATATCCCCAAGTATCTAAACATACACCGCGAAAACAATTTGAAAAAAGCTAGCTACAAAAAGAAACTTGTTGCTTGAATAAATTCTATAGAAATTGATGATTTATTTAACGGTTTGCTACACTGTTTCTGTCCGGTAAAAGTCTACCGGAACGCGACAAGGTCGAGTTATTTACGAAGCAGTTGGCCACGGGTGATGGAAAACGGATCACATACGGCAATGATGTGCGAACAAGGTCACGGTCAAGACGAGCAGAAGTTGCATAATTTTTAGGAAAACCCAGATGGACGCTAACGGAGATGACACTATGTGTTTGATGGCGTTGAAAAGGGATTGTGCCTAATACGCTGTTGCCGCCTGGTGAAACGATTCGTTCGAACCTTTTCTGTCAACAATCGACCGGATTAGTGAACAGAAAAGGCGTTGTCTTTTATTACGACGATACCAGACCGCATACACCCTCAAACACCGGGAAAACGTTACGGGACCTGCATAAGAAATTTCAATAAAACCGTAATATAGCCCGGGTCTTGTACCATCAAACTATAGCTGTTTCGGTCTTTGCGGAACTTCGTTAATGGTGTTAATTTAGTTCCACTGGAGTAATTAGAAAATCACATGTCACCATTTTTTTGCCCTCAAAACACAAAAGTTCTGCAGCAGTGGGATTATGATGTCGCTAGAAAAACTATAGATCATAGATTAGAATGGCACAAGTGTCGTAAAAAGAAAAAACCAATTAAGCTAAAAAAACTCCCAAAAAAAAGACCCAATATTTCGTGAAGTCTTACCTTAGCGACTAAACACGAAACGTTAACTTTCTTTCTTCTTGTGTTTCCTGTTATGCTGTATGATGCCCATTCAGGACAGCATGTTCTTTGTAGGCTTCTGTGATAAATCGCTGAACCCGTGCTCTTCCTTGTTATGTGTAGAACTTGATTTTTTTATTTTATAAATCAAAATATATCCTGTCTTTCGTAATTCCCGATAGTAAAAGAGCAACAAATAAAAAAGATAACAAATAAACATGTGGAAGAACTATTATCACGATTAGTTCTTGAAATTATGTTCATATTATTCGACATTATTATAATGTCTTCTTTATGCATAAAGGACTCTTTACGCACACTGGAATAGCTCACTTCCTTTGGTCCCTACGAGAGTCCTATTCGTTTTTATTATTCCTCGAGTTATAATGAAGATGACTAAATTACTGAATAAACTTACCAGAGCTTAAATCCGTATTGTTTAGATCCATGTGTCTTTTTTCCTCACTCTAGCAGATAGCTATTTATTTGTTCAATAGCCTTTTCAACAGAATCTTGTATTCGACATTTCAGATAAATAGCATCTTCTTGGAAGTGTATGTATTTGCTTTGATTTAGTCTTATAAGGACCTAAACTGATCCAAACATCGGAAGACGTCACGCCAGCAGACACTACCTTGACACAATGTGGAAAATTCATCCATACTCGTAGCATATAGGCTCACTGAACTAGAAACTTCCTTTATATATAGAGAGAGATGCTCGAGCCTGTGTTGTACCATAGAATGCAAACACTCAATGCTATTTAGGTTTTATTGTTTGGACCATGAAAGCGATGAAGGCATCCAGCTTTTTATACTCACACAAAATGGACGCAACAATGTGTTAGGAAAGAATATGAAAGGACCCGAACTCACTTGGCATCTATAGCTTTTTTATTTTATTTGTGTTAGGAAAGCCATGTTGTATTCTCGGTACAATCGACACGTCCGTTATGTTCAGCATAACTTTTCGCAATTACAGTACAAAATGGCAAAAATACCTACAGATGATCTTTACGCGACTAGTAGCTACTTATACAACAGTCGGGGGCAGCAAACAGGTATGTTACATTGGATTATTGTAGGTGCTTCAAAATAATGTTCTAAAGACAGATGCAGCCCCATACAAATCAATTTGCATGTAAGATAGCTCGTTATACCTCTACCAGTTCCCAATTACCTTAAGTTGTGTTATTGATTCTCTGGTTACTTAAAAGTTAGACCAAGCTAGAGCATATAAGGTACTACCTTGTAGAGTTCGAAGCTGCTTGATTTCGATTAGCCTAAACATATGGAAATCATTCATTCATGGTTCAATTATCAACAATCGTTTGTGGTCAAATGCAATGGAAACCTTTGCCGTTGGCAGTTACTTGACGAAAACCCCAAAAAACCCATATAACCACCTATTGTGTAGTATTATAGATGCTAAACGATATAGTAACCTATTTTAATAAAATATATGCTTTGTATTATTCGAGTTAATTATTAAACAATTTGTATGGCTTTTATTTTAAAATTTTACTCCTTAATAATTTTTCTTACATAATTGTTCTCCATTTATTCCAGAGATTTCAAAAAGCTAAAATATGTAACATAAAGCGGAGTAACGCCTAATTGTCTATGGTTTTAATTTAGCCTGGCCCTCCTCTTACTTCTGAAAGCTTTTTGACACAACGCTGACACCAGCGTCGATGCGAAGACACACAAGGGAGAAATTACTTGGAGTTCTAAAATCGGAAATCCCCTGATCTCAGTTATTGCCCTTTCCTTCGGCGTGAATATTGGGAAGGGTACAATCAGGAAGGGAGGTAACTGAGGCCATGTTAGCTGTCAATGGTCTGTTAGATCCGTACATTAGTTGAGGTTTGAAAATATCCATGTCTTTGTTAAATTGCTTTCCTCTTTCGATCATTCTTTTGCTGTCGGCTAAAAATTTTATGTCAGTCGAAAGCTGTTTCCTCTAAAACTCGCTATATTCGGATGGTGGAACTTAAGCCCAAATTAAGGTTCTACAATTGAAATTCTACCCTAGAAACGTTAAGTTGAAAAAATGAACAAAATCAATGTTTGTCCGCTATGCCAGTGCGCTATAGTGCAGTTCCGGATTTGACCTTTCTAGATGCAGGATGTTCCTATATGGAGATTTGCAAAGCGTTAAACAGGTTAATTTGACACTATTTTGATTAATACCTATTTTCCATATTCGGACATTAAAGGAAACCACGCATATTTCTCGTGACTCTGTGTGACTTGATGTTTGGGCGTATGGTTTTAATGAAAACTTAGGTAAAGCTTTCATTAAAATCATGCATGTTTAAAAACATACGTACTAATGACTTTTGAGAGCACATTCTTCGTAGGCATGTACCTGAAGATTGCTGTGTAGTGACCTTTAAGCGGAACATAACTCTATAATAAGGAATATTGTTCAAAACCGTCACATTTTGTGTATTGTCTTTCGTAATAATTGCATTTTTGTAATACTTTCTCCTGCAATTCTGTAACCGCGACTACACAATGGTCGTTCTCCTTACATACCGTTCCCAGCATCTAAAATGAGTTCTTTTGCAAACACTGCAATAGATATCAATAGGCCTATGCCCCAGGCCTCAAAAAATGACACTGAAATTTCAAAATTTACCGCCATTAGGCCGGCATCCTCGTCGCGGGC